CCTCCCTAAGCTTTACTACAGTGTTGGCATGAAGGAGGACACACTTCTAAAAACTGAGACATCAAATTTTTTTAAATTAAAAAAAAAAAAAAAAAGCTTAAAATTTTGCTCTGAAAATGAAACTTCTAGACTAAATATTAGGCACTGGATATAAGGCATGATGTCAAACTTTCCGCTACAAGGAAGAAAAAAAAGAAAAAAAGAGAAAGACTTGCGTGCAGAGGATGGACTGATCTTCACGATCTGTAAAAGAGAAAGATGAGACTCCAGATCAGAAACTAAGGTGAAGTGTGTGACATTTTAAACATTATTTTCCTTAAGCATGCCACTAAATTTCTAATTACATCTTTGTACGGTACATCATTGACCTGATGGAGTATGGAAGTGTTTAAAACTAATTTTACAGCTGCCTTACCCTGCATCATGCTCCTGTAGGCCGTGTCTGTGATGGCGTAGATGTGAGGGGGCATCTCGTGCCTCTTCTTGCCCTTGTACATGTTCACAATCTCCTCACTGTAGATGGGCAGGTGTTTGTACGGGTTGATCACAACGCAGAAGAGGCCGGAGTACGTCTGCGCGAGAGACAACACGAGACCAATCAGTCGACGAGGAGCAGCAGCAACAACATCGATTTCGGGAAGATCGGCGACATTAAAATGCAACAAAAACAGATCCCTGCCCACTCACATAGATGAGTCCGGAGTAGTATCTCTCCTTGAGGTTGTGCAGCACAGAGGCCTCGTTCAGGCAGGTGAGCTCCGCCATGTCCTCCACCTTGTTGAATTTGGGTGGGTTCATCTTCTGAATATCATCCTTGTTGAATTTCACCTGAGATTAACAGAAGCAGAGTCAGGCTTGCTGAACAAGGCTGGGACAGTAAAAAGTACACACTGCAACACAGGCTTGTTGATTCTTCAGTTTCACCTTCTTGCCAGAGTCCGTCAGCTCCACCATGCACTCGTCTCCCTTCTCCTCTTTGATGGAGCCGGCCTCAAAACCCATCTTCTCACTGGGGACCCACACCAGCTTCTTGGTGGCCCAGTCGGCCTGAGCCAGAGGGTCGGTCAGCGCACTGCGGTCCCCATACAGGAACTTGTCTGCATCAGTCATGGTAGCTTTTAAAAAACAAAACAGAACAAGAGCATTTTAACATACCAAAACACTGACAGTGATCTTTCACATTTTACAGACAAGAGCACTGAAATTATTGGGGCAAAAAATAAATTAAAAAAATAACTTTCTGTGAGAATTCAAAATACCTCCTTACACAGGGGTACGCACATTACTTTACAGCAGCCGTTTCTGTGAGATTAAGGGCTAGAGATATGATGCGCTGGATTATTTTGACAGAATTTCTTGCAGGTACAGCGAACAAACTCTTGAGTCTCGAATCACAAGCTCCCAGAGACGCTGCAGAGTTTACCAACCTCAAAACCACAGTCGAGGCAAAAATACAATTTAAAACGCAGATGACTCATGAGTCCAAGTCATCTACACAGCCTGTACAAAAAACTCCATTTATTGTTGTGCAAGATTTAAGACCATCGAAGTGACTGCACGTTTGATTCATTGAAAGATTTCTACATAAAGGCAGGCTTACGACACTGAAAGCAGTGTGTTCACAGTGGCAGCTTTGTTGCACGTCATCCTTCCTGTTGTCTCTTTTGTGTTGTAACTGAATTAAAGACACAAATGAGATAACGCTGAGTAAATAAAAATATTCAGATTAATGATTCAGATCAGACCACCAATACTGAGGACTGTGCTACCTCATCTTATGTGTGTGCGTTTGTGTTCTTTTTGAAGATGATGAGAACTGCACCACAGGTTTGGACATCTGCTCTGCAGCTGTTCCCCGCAGTGTCATTATGACCATGTAGCTTCTTTTCCTGCAACCACCTTTAACTTTAAACCAGAGCTGGGACAGCCAATCAACCCAGATACTAATGTCAGGATCACATTATTGACCCGAGGCTCATCGCAGTCAGACAAAATGATTCATCTCTTTTCAGCTGTGCTCTGCTCAACGACTGCTTTTATTTTTCTACCTGTCCATCTTTTGTTCCCCATCAGGCCCGCATTCCTTCCTCACCAACTCATTACACAGAATTCCACAAATTCCCGACTCCTGCTCATCATCCGTGACCCTCTGTTCCAGCACAGGTGATAAATGTGCAGCTATGCTGCTCTGTGTAGAGCCTATATGTAAAAAGCCTGACGGAGGTCTGTGGACGGACGCTTTTGCACTCAGAGTGGTAGAAAGGAATGTCGGAGCAAGTCTGGACAGGTGGAGAAATGTGATTATTCCCCAGCCACACCCTGGAGAAGTACTCGGGGCTGCAGAAAGAAAAAGAAATGCCCTGAAAGACATTAAAAACCTAAATAAATAATCAACTGGATGTGACCTTGCCAAGAAAATTTGCACATGGTGAATGCAAATTAAAGTTATTGACAGCCAGTTTTTTCCCCCCCATTAAAAGAGTTTGTTCAGATGAACATATAATCTTTTACTTAAAGCTTAGAGCTTTGAGTCGTGCCCACTAAACAACTGTTTCATTTTCTGTCAAGAAAAAGGCACGTCTGTGACTGAAGCGTGCAACAACTCCACTTTGTTGCACAAAAGAGAGACAAACCAGCACTGATAAAAGGAGATGATAAGCTTCTCATAGATCAAACTATTTGGAACCAGTTCTCACCCCTGATGTTCAAAGCCTTTAGATGACTTAAGCTAGTGGAATATTTCCCCTTCCTGAAGTCATATTAGAAAAATCAAACATTAGAAAACCAATGTTTCAGCTACATCACGCAGGCCGGAAACTACTGAACTCCAAGCAGAGAGGTCGGGAAAGAACTGAAAACATCAGACTCAGTGTAGATACTGTAGGTAGAAGATAAAGTTTTCCACACATCAACACCATCCTTCACCGATTAAGGATATAAATGCAGGTCTGTTTTATCGAATGATCCTGAAATGATAAGTTGGGCTGTAAGAGCGTTCATCATGAGCGCAGCCTGCACACCCTCGATGCTGAGACTCATTCAGAGGAGCCGACGTCTCTTGGATCAGAGGTTGGATGGTGCAAAAAACAGCAGAGCGGTGTGTGTGTTTGTTTCTGTGCAGAGATAAAGGCACAGATAGAGTGTGCGAGTGCGCTTAGAGTGAGGGATAAAAGGGATCAGTGGAGAAGGTGTCATCTGTGTCTCTCCTAAGTTCATTATGTGCTCAAAGTCTTGAAGATAAGTGGGGGAGGAAGAGGAACACACTGACATTTCCTCTGCTTTAATTTAGGACTGAAATCCTGCAGAGCGTCGTGTGCGTGAAGCTAAGCTATGACGGCTAAAGTCTTTTACTCTAAACTTTTTAGATTCACATGCATGCGGCTTTTTTGATGAAGCCACCAACAGGCCAACTTCCTCAGGAAGTTGCACACAGTGCCTTTGCACATTTTGACACGGTGGAACAAAATAACAAAAAGAACTACTTCAGTATTCTCTGTTCCTTTTATAATTAAAATCCAAACATTAGCTATCGTAAGCCGTGTCCTGGTGAACCTCCGCTGAGGTCGGGATCAAGCTTGACCACATCTGGAAACAGATCCACGCTCAAACACAGCACACGCTCTCCTATTGTCTGCAAGGGCCCGTTTAATCTACCTCTCTTGTGTTCTTCATCACGTTTTCAGCATCTCCTCCACTCGCCTGCTCTCTTTTGTTCTTGGCCGCAAGTCAATCCCGGCTTTATCCGGGCTTCTGTGGCTCTTACCTAACACAGAACACGAGTCCTGTCGTCTGAAGCCTGGCTGGTGATACGAGGCCGGTGGGGTGACAGACTGAGGAGGAGATGTTGTTGAGAATTGTTTAAAATGTGACTGCAGTCACAAGATGTTTGATATGTGAAACGATCGTGGCTGGAAGATGTAGATGGACAAGTGAACAACAGGTCAAAACAGAAAAGTCAACTTTAAGCCGAAGATGTTTTGCATTTCACTTTGTGTAACAGGCAGAGAGCTGACTGACACCGAGGGTGAGATGGCGTTTTTTTCTGCAGGACCTTGGCTGATTTTGTGGTCACAGTGAAGTTTAATTACAAAAGAGGAAGAATTGATTATGATCAGCAACCGGTTTTTGCAAGATATGCCCTTCATACAATTTAAAAAATAAGTAAAAAAAAACAAAAAACAAAAACAAAAAAACAAAAAGGGATCTTTTTAAAAATAAATAAATAAAAAAATTCGTGTGCTGCTGCACTGCTCTTTGGTGTCTGCTCTCCAATTTTGTGCCCTGCAGACAGACATAGCAGCTGGGTGTGTGCAGTTTGTTACATGAAGTCAAACAACTCATCTTGTGCAACAATGACAAAAACTGCATTAAACTCTGTAAAAAAGGCAAACATGAGCTCTCGGTACCTCAAATTACTTCAAATTTTGTTTGTGCCATATTGTCATCGTCATCACGTCATGCAGCCTTCCACTCAGTTCATACAGGCCACCAAAATAAAACTTAAACCACATGAAGTTTATTCAGCTGTTTGAGGCTAAAGTTCTGAATTATTGTGAAGGTTTAAAGCCCGTCGAAGTAAAGCTCTCTGATTGTTGGTTTCACAGGTGTGAGAACACAAACACGTCTGCAAGCTCGCGTCTCAGCCAACAAATACAAAAAAAGTCACTTTAAATTGTTGTAGAAATAATTCCGCAGTCAATGAGACGATAATGGAGCACGCGCTTCACCTGACGAGAGAACCTGCCCAGGTGTGAGCCATTACATATCTTATCTCTTAATTTCTTACTTTGAAGTCTTCGCTACAGCATTTCTATCTCTCTACCTGCAGGAAACGAGGTGACACACCTGATTTTCAGCTACAGGCACTGCAGGTGTGATGAGTCGCCTTCCTGCGTTCCGTTCGTGTTTGCAGCAGTCCTCCTCCTCCACCTCCTTCTCGACACCTTCACAAAACAAGCAGCTGCTCAGGAGGGGCCACAAGAACACCACCTCTCCGCTCCTCTTCGTCGCGTCTTCAGCCGGCTGTCCGCTCCGTCAAGCGCTCCTGCTGCTCAGGCGTGGATCAGCGAGGATGCGTCGACTCCACCTGGGATCGGCCCAGTTTTATTTTTCGCAGGTAAGCCAACGGCCCCGCCCCCTCCTCGCGCGGTGTTCAAGTGCTCCACGTAAAAACGCGGACTTGTGAGTCGCTCTGAATCAAAAAGAAAGAAATTTGCTATTTTACAACCCGGATGGAATTTTTTTTATAAAACAAACAAAGTGCATAAATCATAAATGTTGATAATGAAACAGAAAATGGAAAATACAGTTTGACTGACCATACTCACTAACATCCTCCACTTATTATGAAGAGCTGTCTTATGACTCACTTAAGTTCCTTGTCATTTTTTTCCCTGACATGATATGATTGTCTATCAATAATGAATGCACAGCTTAAATAAATACCTGTTGTCTTCCACAGCAGTACTGGAAAAACAACCAAAGGCTTTCAGGGACTAAACCTCATTGAACATCACACATGTGGAAGTGCACAAATGTTCAAAAAGGTTCAACAACTGTAAGTTAGACTCTGAGGAGGAATGTAATGTCGAAATGTTCACTGGTGCAAGATCACTGCTCCCTATAGTGTGTGTGTGTGTGTGTGTGTGTGGGGAGGGGGGGTCTGTACCTGCAACGGGACCAGAGGTGTGGCACCTCTCATGTGTCATTAATGACTGCAGCATGTAAACTAACATGTAAGTCTCGTGCACAAAGTGTGTTCCTGTTTTTATCATTTCATTTTTTTTAAGTGGAAGCTGATTGGCCCCACTATCACTGCAGACGTGTCAGCCACAGTGGGCCTTTGCACCGTGTTTCTGACAGGGTGTTTTTATCTGCAACAACAAATTACATTCTAAGGTAAACTGAAGTAATAGAAACAAGAGCTGTTCTCACAAACATCCGAGCACATCCCAAACAAGGCCAAACGTTTACCTGTACCTTGTCTCCCGTCCACCAATGAGGTTCTGGTTTAATTTCCTACCTTATAAGGTCAGAGATTTCCAGAAAGAGAGAAGGCGCAGCGCTCTGGGGCGGAAGGAGGCGGGGTGTTTTGTTGCGAGGTCTCGCTGTGGTGTAACTTTCGTTTCGAGCCCTGTCTTTAGCCCCAGTCCCGCTGCTGTTAAAGACCTGACACACATCAAAGATGAGCAGAAATGTAGGAGCAGCAGGTCGCAGCATGAACGGAACAGACGGCACGCTGTGTGTATTCATATCTTTGTGGGGACCAAAAGTTGGAAGTCTACTTTACTTGTGGGGACCAAAATCCTGGTCCCCACAAGTTAAAGGCGTTTTGAGACTTTAGGGAAATGGTTAAATTGGGTGTTTGTTAAATTTAGGGTTATTGTTAGGCATTCATTTTTCATAGTTATGGTTAGGGAAACCATTATGTCAATTAGATGTTCCCACAAGATATGAATACTTGACTGGTGTGTGTGTGTGTGTGTGTGTGTGTGTGTGTGTGTGTCTTTAACTGGTTTAACCTGTAGGCAATGAAATTAAGCATACACACTTAAAGTCAGGATTACTGTGAATAGATTTGTCCCACCTGGTGGATGAAAGGAATCCTTAAATGTTTTACACATAACCCTTCACTGTAAATGCCTTCATTAAAATACCTCTGAAAAAAACCTCTTTAAGATCCCCACATCTAATTAAACTACATCTGACTCAGCACACAACATATTACAGAGAACTGTGAAATTCATTATTAACACTTTATTTTTCTGTTTTCTTTTTTTAGACTTTGATCTGGTAACAAATCTGAAATCTTCTTGAACAAGAAACAATGTCAATAAATTCATTTTTACTGTGAAAAAGTCCTGAGCCATCCTTCATATCTGCATATTTTGCTTCCAAACAGACACATTTTCTTGTAATTTCTTGCAGGTTCTCCTGGCTTTCTGAAGATCATCCAACTTTGTCTTTGGACATTGCTTCCTTTTTTCACTTGTTTTTAGTCCAGTCATTTATTAGGACCCCTTAACACTGATCTGTGAATCCTTCAAGCATAAAATGTCACCTAACCCAAGGGATGAACCAGTGCTGTATCTGCACATAACAGAAAACTAAACAAAAAAAAAATTAAATTGTGTCTTTAGGCTCTTTGTTGCTATAGCACCCTGCTGCAAAAACACACAGTTCATGTTAACAGAGTCTGACAAAATGATGAAACAACTAGGTCAATCCCAAAATCCCAGGGATCAATAAAGTATTCTGATTCTGATTAACCCAAAATTTGGCATATCTTGGCACAGTGTAAAGTGTGTCCTTAAAATTGCAGAAACTGGACAAATGGAGAACAAAAGAAGTGAAGGGTCTAAAAACAATCTACAGCATTTGCTGTAGATTGTTTTTAGACCCTCAAAGTCTAAAAACCCTCAAAGTTTTTAGACCCTCAAAGTCTCAGCATCTCAAAGTCTTGATGTTAAGAGATATGGGGAAAGAAACAACAAAGAGCTGACACAGGACCTGTGAGTTGCCTCCGCACCTTCAGCTGATCCTTCTACTCTTCAATGGAGCCTCATCAGAGGCTCAGTGGAAGAAAAATGGGGAGCAAAGGTTAAGGTGTGTCTAATTACACAAGACCTGGACTGAAAATCAGACCTGATGGAGAGATGAATCTAATTATGAACCCAGTAAAGTACCGTGAGATTTTAATCCACCATCCAATACCATCTGGAAAGCATCTGATTGGCAATGGCTTCATTCTTCAACATCACATTGATCCCAAAGACACAATAAAAACATATTTTAAAAAAACACAGGCACACAATGGAGCACTATCAGTCATGGATTGGCCTCCTCCAGAGCCTGGACCTCAACATTATTGAGGCAGTGTGGCAATCACATTGACAGAGAACAGAACAAAAGGCAGCCAACATCCAAAGAAGAGCTCTGAATGTCCTTCAAGAAGCCTGGAGAACGTTTCCCGAAGACTACTTAAAGAAGTTGTCTTACATCCTTTATTTCCATGTATGTCTTTACACGTTTCACTAACTTTCCCTCACATTTTTCTACCAACGGATAAAGAAATGAAGAGCGCCTCAAGCCACACGGTGCTGTGATTAATTACAAGTCATAAAACAATATCTTTAGAAAGATTCTGTTTTATGTTGCGACACAGATGTCTTGACTTTGAGGGTTTCTGTGTCTTTTCTTCTCTATAAAAATACAGAATATTCACGTTCACGAGGCTTCAACCTCCACTTTAGAAAGTTCAATGCTGACTGCTACCACTCTGATTTTTCTTTCACATAATTATCACACATCATCATGTGAAACTTGGGGAAACTTTCCACCTCCAGCACGTTTTAACCCTTTTGCACAAGCCTGCAGAGTTTCCAGAGCTGTCGGCTCACTCAGTCGTTATGCTGGTGGTTTATTTTTGCTTCCTTGGGGCAAAGTCTGTAGTTACATCACCTCACATATAATGCAGCTTCTTCTACTTCTGAAATCAAGACAAAGAACGTATTGGTCACACAGCAGTGACTGATAGGTGATCTTACTCTGTTTATTCCTGCGTAGTACTCGGCATGATCTGCTCAGTGTGAGCTTTTAATCATATGAGCAGAAGCAGAGTCATGCCAAGTCCTGTTCTGTCTTGTCATGCATGCAATTGTGGTAAATTTCCCTGTGAGGGGAATGTGCAGACGCCACAGGAAGAAGAAGAGGAGGATAAGTGTGTCTGCCTTCACTTTTACCTTCACTTTAGATGGATGGAGTCATGAATTAGAAACGTTTTTTTGGGGGGAAAGCAGAGTTCAACGTTACTACACTAACCAAAAAAAATCACTTAAACAGAATCTGTCTGACAAAGTGAAGTAGACTAAAATAATCTCAAGAAACACCTAAATGACAAAGTTCACTGACATCTAAAAACGGAGAGAACTTGGAACTACGCTGAACCTTCCCAGGAGTGATCAGCCTTTTAAAATTACTCCAAGAGCTCATACACGACTCTTGGATGGCTCTGAATGGCTCACAGTCAAAACTTAAATCAAATCGCGATGCTTTGGCATGAAAAAACTCCAGTGGTGGAATTAAAACAATTCTGTGATTAAAAGTGGGCCTAAATTCCTCCACAGTGAGACACTCATTACCAGGCACTGCAAATACTTGGTAGCAGTTCTTGCTGCCTGTTGTGTGTGGTCTATTTCTTTCTGTGCATGATTGCTATCATCCATCCATCCATTCACTTCCGCTTATCCCTTTCAGGGTCGTGGGGGGCTCTGGAGCCTATCCCAGCTGTCATAGGGCGAGAGGCGGGGTACACCCTGGACAGGTCGCCAGTCTGTCGCAGGGCCAACACACAGGGACAGACAACCATTCACACTCACATTCACTCGCACATTCACACCTAGTGGCAATTTGGATTATTCAATTAACCTATCCCCACAAGTTGTGGGGATTGCTACCGTTTTCTTTATTAAATTTTAACACACTTTTCTTTCTTGTGCTACATTTTCTTACCAGAAATCTCCAGAAGTAAATCCGCTCTGTGTGGAACCAATAAAGTCTTATCTTCTGTTTGAGATGTGGCGGAACAGCAGATTCACATCACAGATGTGCAGCCAATAAATCTGCAGACACTGTGCGATGCTATCATCCCAGTGGACCAAAGTCTCAGAGGAATGTTTCCGGCGCCTCGTTAAATCTATGACACGAAGAGTTAAGGTGGGTAGGAAGGTTAGATGGTTCAGTCCTAGCAAGGTGTACGTAAACTCAGAACAATTATTATTTCCCAAATGCTGATTTGATGGCTTTCTGCAGGCCGGTCGGTAACGTTCACTTTAGTGTTCTGGAGGTAGTAATGGCCCAGAAACACGTTTTCTGTTCATTGGTTGATGATTTCTTTGCAAAATCTTGAGGAGACTCCCAGTTCCAGATTTACTTAAACATCCCCGCAACATAATACTCCCACCACCGTATTTCACTGTGCAGACTGTGTCCTTGGTGTACTTCAGTCTGGGTTGAAGGTGTCTCTTCTGCAGACTCTCACACAGGTGAGGATATTTCAAAGAAGATAAAAAAATACCACAAGACAAACTTTTTTTTTTATGAGTTTTTATTTATTTATTTGATTTTTATGTCTTTTATTATGTTTTTTTTTTTTACTCCAAAGAGATCCTGAGGTATTCACAATATAATGGCATTTATTTTATTTGAAATGACACTGGGGAGGGGGATGAAATACAGCTAAAAACAAAAAAATAAAACAAAACAAACAAACCAACAAAAATAAAAAAAAGACAAAGGAAATGGGCAGTAAAGCTGTGTTGACTGATACAACGGTCAAGACAATAAATCGGTGCATGTGTGTGTGTGTGTGTACATAAATGAAGCCTTTGAAGTCAGTCCTCTTACCCCCCTCACCACGCTCACAAGCAAAATCATGCAGTCTACACTGACAATTCAGAAGGAACAGGCAAAAAAAACCCTGTCAAAGCAGGCATGTCCCAACCTCGCTGTCATAACAACAAGCCAATCAGTCCACTATTAAAGTAGCTATCACCAGCTATACATTTTTAAAGAAAGTCAGCGCTGAGGGTGGCATCCACTGATTAAAACCATCCAAATTCAAACAACTTAACTGAATAATTAGCGAAGCACTTGAATCAAACACACCATGCAGTTGCTCCAAACCATGGAGGAGTCTGATGGGGTCTTCTGAGAGGGTAAACAGCAAACAAAATCATCTGGGAGTCACATTAAAACCAGAAAGAGTGATTTTTACTGTGCTGCACCTTTCATCTTCTTCGAAAATAAACTTTTAATCTACCGAGCAGACTGTACATTAGTGTGGTGATCGAGCACGACATTTAGCTTTCTGTACACGACGGTAAAAATGCCAATAGAGAGTCTACTCCTCTGCCTTGTATCCTGTTTGCCCTCCACAAAACAATAAAAATTACATATTAAAAAGAACCATAAAAAAAACAGACAAATAACATACAAAGGACTAATAAATAAATACCAGTGAGAAAAATACACTGTTGAATCATCTTCTTGCTCTGTCTCACAGATTTATATGATTGATAAAATAACTGCTGTGACTCTTAGAAAATAAGGAAAACACCCAATATTCTCCTCCTGTCTGCACAACAATCTGCAACACAAAACAAAAATAAAACCATCACAAGTGCAACATCAGTCACAACAGTCTCAGCAATTAAAAAAGAAAAAGAAAGCTCTGGTGTTTTACCATCAGCTCACTACTAGAGCAAACCAGAAAGAATAATAAAAAAAAACAAAAATAAAAGGGACAAAAAACCCCAAACCAAAACACAAACAAACAAACAAACAAAAAAAAACAGCACACAATTTATGACCCAAACTGGGGTAACAAGAAATAAACTGATCATGATATCTGATCAAAAGGAAAACAATATATAATAACAATCAAAATAATAAAAAAAATAAAAATACTATCAGACTTTGAGTTCAGAGGTCATCTTTTATGTGGCGGTTTGACAAAGGTGGACAGACCATCTACAGCGTAACGGGAAAAACCAACTGCTCCACCTCGCCTATAAAAAGGAAACCTTTAGAAGAAAGACGGACCGCCCCCGCTCTCGATCACCCACTTATTTCCTTGTTCAATTTGGTGTCATCTTTGCCCTGAATAATAATAATAATATTAACAACAATAATAAAAACAGTAATAATAGTAATTGTGATGATAATAAAAAAAAATAAAAAATAAAAATAAAAGCTAATAATAATAATCACCATCAATAAAAGACTTTTGGTAGACGATTAACCATCACGCACACTCTCCACGCGGCTAACTGAAAAGAGAAACTGTGCACACGAACGAGGCGAAAACAGGACAAACACTGTCTGCTAATAAAGATCCAGCTCCTCCTCATCCTCCTCAACACATAGTGACGGGTCTGAAGTGAAAAAGCATGTTGGGGAAAAAAAAACCAAACAAATTCTCTTTTCCTAATTACACAAAAATTCAACTTTTTTGTTGCAAAAGCAAAAATACAGAGTACACGTGTAAAAATCATAAATAAGAATAAAGTTTTGTGCATCCCCGTCCCAACCGACCATTGTCTTGGAAGAAAACAAAGAAACAATAAAAACAAAACAATGGCAGTTACAGCGGTGACAATAACATGCAATCGATATACTTTACAGCATTGATCTGTTACCTCCCCCCTCGTCAAAACCCCCCAAAAACAAACCAACAACAAAA